GATGCTCTGAGGGTCGGTGTGGACTTGTTGGGCCAAAGGGCCTGTTTCTACAATGTAGGGATTCTATGATTCTATGAAATTTCTGGAGGCAATTACACTACAGAATGTCAAGGCAAAAGAGGTTGTGGAAGAGTTGCTTGCTTTCTTTACCCGTTATGCACTACTCCAGGAGATTCAGTCGGACCAAGGGTCCAATATTACTGCCAAATTGTTTACGGAGATCATGGATAGTTTAGGCTTCCAACAGTTTAAAATCAAACGTGTACCATCCTGAATCCCGGGGAGCATTGGAGAGGTGGCATCAGACCCTAAAGAACATGCTGAGAGCTTATTTTCAGGATAACGGAAATAATTGGGATAAAGGTATCCCATTTGTATTATTTGCTATTAGAGCTGCCCCAAATGAATCAACTCTATTTTAAGTGAATATTTGGACACAAAGTAAGAGGGCCTTTAAAATTAATTAAGGAAAAGTTGATAGGTCTGAAGTCAGAGATCTCACAGTTGGATTATGTATCTGAGGTCACAGAAAGATTAACCAGAGTAGGTGAATTAGCTAGATGACATTTGAAGGTGGCACAGCACATAATGAAGCAAGAAGCTGATAAGAAATCCAAAATTCATATGTTTACCCGTGGGGATAAAGTATTAGTGCGGTTACCACTGGTAGGAAATCTCCTCAAAGCAAGTTTTTGTGGGTGGTCCCTATAAAATTGAAAAGAAGTTAAGTCAGGTGAATTATCTGGTAAAGATGCCAGATAGGAAAAACATTTATCAGGTATGTCATGTGAACATGCTGAAAACTTACTATGACAGAGAACGAGAATCAGAGAAGCAGGTATTAGTTACCGCCAGACAGAGTGAGGAATCAAATCCAGATGATTCAGATTTTGATGTGCCTCAGAATAAATTGAATAATGAGGAAGTCCTTAGAGAATGAGATACGGTAATAAGCTATCAGAAAACTGAATTGAAAGGCTTGTTGCAGCATAATGATGACATATTTAGAAATAGAATGGGGAGGATTAATACTATAGTACATGAGGTGGATGTAGGGAATGTTGTTCTGATAAAACAATACCCTTAGGCTTAATCCTCTCAAAGCAGCACAGGTACAGAAGGAAGTAGAAGCAATTCTCCAAGAAGACATCATTGAACCAAGTCAAACCAACTGCAGTTCGCAATTGTGTTATTTCCCAAACCTGATGGTACGCAATGATTCTGCATGGATTATTAGAAGGTCGATGCCGAGACTAAATCAGACTCATACCCACTTCCAAGGCTGTAAGATTGTGTGGAAAAGTTGGACAAGCTACTTACATCACAAAGTTGGACTTACTTTGTGGTTACTGGCAAGTACCTTTGTCAGAAAGAGCGAAAGAAGTTTCTGCTTTTGTAACCCTAAATGGGCTAAGTCAATTTAAAGTAATGCCCTTTGGAATGAAGAACACACCAGCCACATTTCAAAGACTTATGAACACACATGTCACAGGATTGACTAATTGTACCATCTATATAGATGACTTAGTGATCTTTAACCATTCGTGCGCAAATTACATGGCGTATTTGGCAGAGCTCTTTGAGATATTACGGAAGGCAAAGTTGGTTATAAATTTAGCAAAGACAGAATTCACGAAGGCAGAAGTGATGTTTTTAGGATACAACATCGGACATGGAAGGATGACACCGAGGGACATGAAGATGAAGGCTATCGAGGAATCTCCAAGACCATCCTTAAAGAAGGAAGTACTACGATTTTTGGTACTGAGTGGATTCTACAGGAAATTTGTACCAAACTTTAGTAGCTTGGTGGTACTGCTGACGGATTTACTTAAAAAAAACATAAAATTCCAACGAACAGAACAACGCAGGAAGACTTTGAGAATATGAAAGCAGTGTTAAACACCGCACCAGTTTTAGCTATACCAAATTTCTTGAAACCCATAAAGCGACTATCGATGCAAGTGATATAGTGGTTGGAGCTGTGTTGTTACAGAAGGATGATTGTGGAATTGAAAGGCCAATTGGTTATTTTGCAAAGAAACTCAATATCCACCAGAGAAAATATTGAACCTTGAAAAGGAGTGATTGAGTTCGGTCCTGGCTTTGCAACATTTTAATGTTTATGTTGCAAACAATATATCGGAGATGGTTGTGTACTCTGATCACAACCATTTGACATTTTTGGAAAGATTTACAGACAAGAACGTAAAGACAAGCAGGACATCATAGAGGCAGGGTGAGTTTAGAGAATAGCATCAGAAATCTCTCTTGGGCTCACAGAGAGAAAGTTTCCATGAAACTCCCTGAAATTGACACTTAGCCGAAATTCGCTTAACAAAATTCAATTCATTGACTCCATCAGGTTAAATTTCCTTTTACTTCTCATTTCCAATACTTTTTCTATAAATGCATTCATTGGAAATAATGATATTAATGCTCTGTGAGTTTTTTTTCACTGTTTTGTCCTTCCAGTATTTTCTTGGTGTTATTCAATAATCCCTGGAAACTCCAGGAAAATCTGAAGAGTTGGCAACTGTATGTTGGTGCCTGCAATTTGAAAGTGCAATCAGCAGGATTGGTTTAGGAGATTAGCAGTTGAGCACCTTGTACAATTTTTAATTGTCTCTTCCCTGCCCAGTTTCTGAAGGACAAGAAGAAGACTATAACTCCCTCACAGTTATGGAGCTTAATCTATTCAGGAGGCTCCCCCAAACTCTTGGGGAATATTAAACATTTCCGCTGTTATGTTTAATATTTGCAGAAACATCCCCAATTCCAACAAAATATTTAAAATTCAGTACATGTCCAGAGCTTGCTGCAGTGTGAATTCAATTCAGGGCTACATCAAACAAAGGAGATAACTACAAGTTGAACCTATTTTGTAGCTATTGGCCTCAGACCCTAAAAATCACAAAGTACAAATGAGCCATGATCTAATTGAATGGCAGCAGAACAAGCTTGAGGGGTTGCATGGTCTCCTCTTGTTTCTACCATATAAGAGATTCAGCCTTATAGTTTTTTTAAAAAAATCTTGAAGCCACACATTATTTGGCTAGGTTGCACAGTACAAACCTTCACTGACAACGTGCTAAAAGCACATTTCTTATGGTTTAGCTGTAATATAGAAGGATTACCTCAATATCTTCAGTGATGTTTTGAAATGGCTCCACAGCACCTGCCTCTTTTATTTACACAGTAAAATAAGTTCAGCGAGGATTACCATGAGTAATAAAAGGCTCACTCTCAACTGACCTTTGCTGGGCAGGTCATGAGTTAAGCAGCCCATCTTACTATTTCTTTTAACATGTTCCTACGGGGAAACTTCACGCAGCGCTCAATCTAGTGTTGTGCAAATGACTGTTCTTATATTTATAAGGGAATCGATTAAAATAATAAATTAATTAGTTTGATGTATTATGTTGTTGTTTCAATTGATTTATTATCATTTCACATGATATTATGTTATTTTCTTTCAGACTGCAATGACTGGTGGTTCTCAATTGAACCCCAGAGGAAGGAAGCTGTTAGGAGATGGGAAGCTTTGTTTCTCTTTTCTGTAAAGTTTTAGATGCAGTTTTGATTGAATCATGTGAATTTGCAAGTCTGCCTTAATTTTAGTCCTAAAACCCCTCATTTAATCTATCTTTGTAACACTTAAATTCCATTTATATCACCACGGCAGTAATTATTACTTGCAAGATCCAAGAACTGATTTTCAATCACAGGGGATCTGACTTATTGATTATCCATAGTTAGTATTAGTTCCAGTGTCAAACACTATTCATTCTGAAATAAAAACAGACTGTGTTGGAAACACTTAGCAGCGCAGGCAAAATCTGTAGCAAAAGAAAAATAGTTAATGTTTCAAGCTGAATATGACCCTTTTTCAGATCAATCTGAATCAAGAGTGGTTATATTCAAGTTGTAAAATTAGCTGTTTCCTTCTCCACAGATGCCAGCAGAGATGCTGGATATCTTCCATAATTTTGTGTTTTTATTTTGGAGTTCCAGTATTTGCTTTTATACTAGTTATCTGAGGTATTTGACTCTAGTTTTTCAGTCTAAAGGGATTGCAAGTAGTCAAGCATTCTTTTCATCCATTAATTGAACCTTGAATGTCTTAGTTTCTCTTCTTACTCGCTCTTCATGTCCACATATACAGATTCATTATTAAAGTTCACTACTTACTTTTGACTAATGTCCTCCATGGCTAGCATATGTCCAGTTACTTTTGTAAATATGTAAGATAATCAGTCTCAGTATTCTGATGTCTAGCTTCATCCATAATTGGAAGCAGCATTACCAACCGACATTACCAGTCTGCACACAAGTGACCAAAACACCGAACAGTCTCATGTTTAATTGTCTTATATCAATCAACTGGGCTGCTTCAGATGGCAAAGTATGTACAGTCATAGATTGAATAGAATGGCTGCCATCATAGTTTCCGACATTACAACAATGACTGCACATTAAAAGTACCTAATTGACCGTTAAGCATTTTAGAATGTCGTGTGGTTGTGAAAAGGTGCTGTAGAAGTGTAAGTCTTGATTTCAACATGTAATTGGCTCTCCTTCACTAAGCAGAAATATTTTGCTTCTGCTGCAACTTCACTGGAACTTCAATGATGCTGTCAACAGCACGACCAATTATGATGTTGCATTTATGCTGTAGCATGAATTATAGTTACTGCAATTATTCTCATCCATGGTTACATAATATTAAAATCTCAGAAAATGGCTGCAATATATAAAAACAAGCTCATTTTACGGAAACTTGGTAAACATGCACATATACAATGGTGGCATTGCCTGTCTATTCAGTCAGGAAATGGCATATAAGATGGAAGGCTGTGATGAAGGACGATAGCAATAACTGAAAGGGACAGAGACATCTTTGACACACTTTTTATTTATCATTAATATTTACCACTTTTATGATTAAATACTTACAGATGACAATGTATATTCTAGCAAGTTACACAAAATACATATTTATTTGAAAGATGCTACAATGTGATTGGTTTGAAAACTTTTAATAATAAATACATTAAACTCAGAACTGAGTCAGTTTGAAATGCCTGTAATGGCAGTAATTATTACTTGCAAGATCCAAGAACTGATTTTCAATCACAGGGGATCTGACTTATTGATTATCCATAGTTAGTATTAGTTCCAGTGTCAAACAGCACTGTATTCGAAAATCCCCCTTATTTGATCATTCATAAAGACAACCATTGGCATTTTATACATTTGCAGACTCTTTGGCTAGCTCAACAAAACATTTCTTCCTTTTCCCAATATATTATACTTTCAGATAATTAAGTTAAATTAATATCAATTTAGCTAGGACAGAAAACAAAACCGTAAAAAAAATAGGGAAATGTTAAAACATTGAGGGCAATGTTCACATAATATTTCCTGTAGTGCTTTTAGAAGTGTAATTGATTGCGATTAGATTTTACGGACCAGATAGGCATGCAGTGGACAAAAGTTAAATCTCTGTGAAGCCTTTGGACACTAACATGATCCCACAGCTTCCCTTCTGTACAACGCGTCACAATCTTATATTAGTAATCTCGGGGTGCGGGGAGAGTACGTTTATGCCTTTTTGAAATCTTATTTTACAAACTCCATCCACCAGAACGAATAAAATATAAACATTATAATTATTGGAACGAAAGTAACAGCATGCATCGGACAGTGAACTTTGCAAACATCTTGTTCTCGTATCAATGATTCTCGCCCTGGGACTGAGTTCCAGTTTAGGTTAACTGGTTTCCAATGAGGAAGGTCAGTTCAGACACGCAGATCGATTGCACTAAGAGGATTGGCTACACAAGTTGTTGCAGGGGAGTGAAGTTCCTGTAGTACCTTATTGCACACAAATTGGTATCGACAGTTCTACCCATCAAAGAACCTATCATCTGCAAATTAAGTGAAAATGTATCCTCCCGAACGCCGGTAGATTTTCAACACTGCAGCCGCCCGGTTTCCCGTGGAATTCAAAATCATTGCTCGCAGGAAGATCCCGTTCCCTCCGGCCTCGTTAGCCTAAGCTTAAAAAGGGCAGCAAGTTAATAATCCACCCGGTGGAGTTTAGAAATAAAACAACTCGCGCTTCATAGAGTAATTCACTGCCCGAGATGTCATCATTTACCATTGTGGTCCTCAGCACCTTTGGCTGGTGCACGAATGTCACGGCAGTGATAACGGAATTTATTTTTTCTTCCCAGTTTTTTTTTTTGTTGTTTACAGATACACAGGCTTTAGTGACCAGCATTTCGCCTAGGTCAGGGAACAACTAAATACGGACAAGGACACATTTAGGGACCATGACGCTTTATGGGAAACTACACAACATTTAACTTTTTTAACAGAGCAAATTGATACAGAATGGTAGTGGACGGTGCCACGGCGCTGTCAGCAGAGCACGACTGGTCCTCGGGTAAGCTGCTGGGACTCACTGATCTCTCGTTACCGCTGCTGCTGCCTGACGCTGGCGAAGAGGCGCTGCCCCCATCTACCGGTACGCTCTGTCCTGGGGACCGCCCGTGGGTAACCTCCGGAAAGGATACAGCTTTGCTAAAGTCCCCGCTTCCTTGATCTATTCCCTGATCTTTAAGCAGCTTGACCAGGAAATCGATATATTTCATCGCCAGGCGCAAGATTTCGTTTTTGCTCAGTTTCTTGTCTGGAGGGTGAGTCGGGACCAGCTTCCGCAACTCTGCAAAGGCGCTGTTTACATTTTGCTGCCTCCATCTCTCCCTTGTGTTGGTGAAAACCTTCTTCGTCATCCTTTCCGGCAGCTCTGCAATAAAAGTGCAGCTGTAATATTTTACAAAATAAGTCAAGAATTCAGTCTAAAAATGGTAGTTACATAAGTGGAAGTCTCGAAATGTTGTAGGCAATCCTGACACCCTAAAGTGTGTCCAACAATCTACAAGGCACAAGATGGAATATTCCCCACTTGCCTGGATGGTTGCAGCTCCAACAACACTCAAAAAGCTGGACATCATCCAAGACAAAGAAGCCCACTTAAATGGCACCACATGTACCAAGTTAAACTTTCACTCCCTTCACCATTCTGCAAAGTAGCAGCAGAATGTACCATCTATAAGATAGACCGCAGCAACTCACCAAATCTCTTTCCACACCAACTTCCACACCCCAGATCTGGACCTCCTACAATCACAAGATTCAGCGGTTGAGCCACCATCCTCTCAACAACCATTAGGCACTAAATGATAGTTTTGCCAGACAACACCAAATAAATGAATAAAAATCAAACAAACTTGGAGCAGTATTTTCTGCCAGATTTTATTTCCCGGCGATTGACTGAATATGTCAAAATGTATTGCAAAAGACCAGAATCCAAGGTTAAAAACGCTTCATATTCATACAGCACTTTTCACAACCACCAAGACATCTCAAAGTGTAATCACTGTTGCAATGTAGGAGACACAGCAGCAATGCACCCCCTAAGCTGCGTGGTTGTATGCATATAGCTGCTCCGAGGGTTTGTGCGCTGCGATCGGCATGTTGACATCGTTTGCAGCATTTACTTCCAATTCCGCTGCCGCAGAAGGACCATGGGAGTCCATGCAGAAGAAAAAATAATTAGCAAGAATGCTGCACAGTGGCAAAATTGGCAAAGCATCCTCCCACACGCAACAATATGATAATGACCAGATCATTTGTTTTGAGATGTCAATGTGTTGTTCATGACATTGGGATTCATTCATTGTATTATTGTTAAGTAGCAGAGCATTTGTTAAAATCTATAGTCTGGCTGGGTAATGGACAATAATATACAGTACAGACTCATTTTCCTGTAAAAGATTTTAACATTATTAGGGTATTATGTTCATCAATAATTTTCGATGTTCAATTTAGCACTGTTTGGCATTCCTGCTTCAGCATGTTTCTATTTTAAGCAAGTGGTTTTAAGTCAGTTGAGTTGGATCATTGAACAAGAGCAAAATTTAACATCAAAATCTATAGTCGCTAGACATGAGAGATTCTAAATTCAATCTTTGTGTAATCTAAAACAGCACAGATGGATCATTACAATCATATTCATTTTGTGATGTCCATATTTCTTTTTCCACAATCTCTGTCCCCTATCCCACCTCATTACATCCTTTCTGCTCAATGTATGGTGCTGCTGCTAGAATGGCCAACTGTGTAGTCTTGAGGATGAATACCACTGGTTAAGTAATCTCTATATCCCATACATTTGGCCAGACCCCAGCTGGAGTACTCTGCTCAGTTGTGGCACTACATCTCAAGAAGGTCATATTGATCTTGGAGGCAGTGCAGCATTAATTTACCAGTAAGATACAAAGGCTAAAGTGGCTAAATTATAAGGAAAAGTTGCATAGAGTGAGTATAGAAGATTAAGCGGATAGCCTCAAAATTAGAGCCAGGTCATTCAGTGCTAACTCACTTCTTCACACAAAGTGTCTTGAGAATCAGAAATACTCTGTCCCAAAAATACTGTTGAGGCTGGGGGATGGATTGGGATTTAACAAATGCCCTGTTACTAAACAATAATAAAATCTATTTTACGATTAGTTCCCAATGAATACCAATGGACTAGCCAACGTTTATTCCTTTATCAAAATAACAAAATAAATTATGTTGTCATTGAGATTATGCTGTTATAATTGTAGATATCAAAACTGAGATTGGTAAAAAATTTTGTTCAATGTGTGTGTTCATTCGTTATAGAACCAAGGCAAATGAGAGTAATTAAGATGCAGATCAAATATTGAATGCTAGAAAAGGCACAAGAGGTAGAATGGCCTCTTTGATGATACCTCCTACATTTCCATAGAATTCACAGAATTGTTATGGAGCAGAAGATAGTTTTTTTTGCCTCTGGTATCTGCACGGCCTTTCTGGTTGAGGATTATGACTTAGTGCAATTCTTCTGTCCTTTCCCCATAACCCCACACATTGTTTCTCTTCATTATCAGCAAATGCCCTCTTGAATACCTCGAATGAATCCTCCTCCAACATACCACCAAGCACGGCATGCCAAACCTTAGCTACCGACTGTGTGAAAATGCTTTTTCTCATATAGCAATCTCTTTTAACATTATTTTAAATTTCTCACCTCCTGATGCCTTTTATGAATGGGAACAGTTTCTACCATCTAATCTGCCCTAGTCCTTCATGATTGTGAAAACCTCTTTTATATCTCTCTTAATCTGCTCCTCTACAAGAAAAAAAACCCTCAACTTCTCCAATCTTCCATAGTAATTGAAATATCTTATATCTGGAACCATTCCAGTAAAACTCTGCTGCATTCTTACCAATGCATTCACATCCTTTCTGATTGTGACAGCTAGAAATGTATACAAACTGTTCCCTCATTTATTAGTCACAAGGTGGATTTTGTAAGTCTTAATAAGAATACCCTGAAAAAAGCTTGACACATTTAATAGTGAGTCCAACCTTTGCTAATTGGGATGCTATTCTGAAACAATTTCTCAGCTATTGGTTTCAATCACGTGGACTGCATAGAAAATAACATAATTAATAGATGGCGTGGAATATATTAATTTGGGTTTTAAAGTTGCATTTTATTTTAGCTATACATCCTCAAGCAAAATCAGAAAAGAACCCTAAACCTATCTTTCATTCTCTTTCATGGCCCCTATTGTCTTATATGATGAAGAAAAAATATTCCTCAACCCTGTCATATCCAAATTCCATTTTTTAAAAATCTGTCTGGTTTAATGTTGGGGTGCTTAATTATTAAATAAGCCATTGCTAATGGCAGTTGGTTAAAACACAATGCTGCAGCAGAATGGAAATCTGATGTTCAAGGCGTAATATTGAAGAAAAAGTAACACAAAAAAGCCGACAGAACTGTAGTTTAAACAGAATGCAATATATTATATATCATCATCAATTTATTGTGCTTAAATAGGCTCAGGTTGAAAATATCATTGCCTTCATCTGACTTGCAGACTCTAATTAATAATTAAATACTGTTAACCAAATAACCAAATCAATTATTACAACCTAAATCTGATTCAAGAATAATAAACAATACAAACAGAAGCACATGTGGTGAGGAAAATCTGGTATTTTTTAACACGATATTGAGATTCAGGAAACAACTGGCTGCAGGAAAGTATGACAGCGGCTTACATACTTATGATGCATCTACCTGTAGTAGGTAGTCTTATCCTGCTCCTGTGTCAAACAAATCCCAGAATCATCCCTTACCTGCTTCAAGAAGTGTTGGCTGCCGCTGATGACAACAGGCTGAAGGAGCTAAGCTATGACCTGCACCGTGCGGTGTGCAGCAGTAAGTGATACCCAGATTCCGTGCAGCCCCGTGCTATGGTTTTTGTTGGGGGGGAGGAGCAGGGAGGGAGCTGCTGCCACTTATATTGTGGCTGTCCCTTTGTTTGACATGTGTCCCCACAATGTGCTACAAGTGAATATATTTGTCTCCTTGGAGACTAGCAGCACAATGCGTCAGGCACCCTTCCCATTTTTGTTCCACTGAAAAAAATGCCCTTCCATTTTCGACACAAGAGTGTCGTTTGCTCCGAAAAGGTGAATGATGCTTTGAGCAATAATCGAAAGGGCGAGACAATTTATTACGTTAGAACGACGCATAGCTGTTTAAATCCGCTGCAAAAAACCCCCCCAGGAAACTCATATATCAGTCGACCGCTTGGAGAACATATCGTGGTGTTGGAATTTAAAACCTTAACCACCTTTCCAAATAATTGGGCGGATCTTGTGTGATGCTGAGTGATTGTCCTTTGACAGTTTGTGATTCTGCCGCAAATTTATATTCGGTAATGAAAACAGAAAAAGCACAACATCGACAGCGAAATAAAAAAAAGTGGAAATGTCATGTTTGGCATGAGACTGTTTGCGCGGAAGTTAAGTGGGCCTCCAAATTGTTACTGTTAACATCCTTCAGTGGTTGTTAACCAACAAACTGCTGCTGGAACAACGCCTTAATACTTTATGCAGTTGAATTTTGTTAGTATATATAGTAAATCAGCATTCTTATCATTTGCTGTTGCCTTTTATTGTTTCTAATTTATGCAATTATTAATTTTTTTTCCCTCAAGTGCTTTGTTTCAAAGTGACAGACTGCTATGGACTTTACTTTGTGGAGTAGGAATTTACATAATCCGATTACAGGGATTATCATGTGGTTGCAAAACTGCCCCAGTGGGTCTGAGTTTTAAAAAAAATCCTTACTATTATTCATTGCGCTTTACACTGCCCACAAAAGTACTGCACCTGCAATTCTAACCGACACTCTTTCAGGACACTCTAGTAGGATCTACATTTGACAAAACAGAACTGCTTCATGTATGCATCGCCTTTAATTGATCCATCTGGATTAGTCTTGAAACTATAAATGAACGTTTGGATGCTTAGTCTTATCTAAAAGGGTCATCGGATTCTTTAAAGAGGACCAACTTGCATCGTGCCTCTGTACTTCCCCGTTCTGATGATTCGCATTGTCCCGGTCTTCAGGCAGTGGTCGCGGCGACTGTGAGAATAATCACTAAACTCGTCGTTTACTTTCTTAGCTCCAAAGGAAAGTGACTTCAGTCAGACAGCAGCTCAATTCCCACAATAAATCTAGTTTAAAGCAGCCTCCCCAGCGCCCGCTGCTGAAACTCCAATTAGTCACCCCGCCAAGTCGCAGAAGGACAAACGAGCGTACACAAATGTTTACTTTGGCCCAAGGTTATCTCTCCGTTTGGTAATAATCATTGGGAACTAAACGAAAGACCTCACTGCAAGGACGTAGGGGCGGAGCGATTAGTTTTAAATCTTTTAAAAAGCGTGTGAACGTCTTTGAAATGGAATAGTAAAAGTGGTGAAGGTGAGCAGGATGGGGGTGCAGTTAATATCAATCCTGTTGTTTGCAGCTATTGTGAGCCTGGGCTTTTGATTTGCCATTCAGCGTGGACGTGGTTGGGGGTGGTGTGTGTGTGTGTGTTTCGCGGGGGGGCAGTGGAATCAATCCAGTAAAGCTGCCTATTGCAGATAAGAATTTTACAGCCTCTGGTAGGACGTGATAAGGAGGCTGTAATTATTAATCAGGCATTAATTGTCATACAGTCAGTAAATAGATACAGTGGATGGGTTTATCTCCTCGACTGCGTTTTGCTTTCTACAACAGATGCTATATTGATTTAGTACTATTAGACTCGTAGCTTCATAGACCAAAGATTAGCTGACTTTTGCCGGGAGAAACTCGGCGTTGTCATACTGAAGAGAGAGAGAGAGACAATCCTGGAAAGGGAGAACTGGAGATGGAGGGAGGTTTGACATCTTTGGTTAATTTCATTTTGCTTCATGTTTACCAGGTGTGATGGTCTCAGTTCAGGTGTTCAGTGGTATTTCTGTGCTAAATACACTTTTGATAAATTCTGTCATTTCTGGAAGGTCACTACATTTAAGGGTTCATAGTTGGAACCCTACCAGCCATGAGTGGCATGGACAATGACAAGAAATTTGAAAGAATGTGGCCAGAAAAACAAAAAATGAGACTCTCCATGTTGAGCAAAAATACTCTGATCTTCCTGTAAATTTCAACTATCTGAGAATCTGGTTAGTTTGAAGCAAGAGTCCTATTTGCATGTATTAACATCTCATTATGACCTAACTTTGCCTTATTTATATGCAGGTTGCTATTGTCTAAGGTGCCGGTGAGAAACTGGAAGGTGACAACTCCAGACATGAGAGTCAGAGATGTACCTGGGCTTGCAGCTGGCTGGAGTCTTACCTGGGCCTGCACCTTGGTCAGCATTCACCAACATCTCAGGGTATGATCCATGGGCCAACAACTGCCTCCAGCCTCTGTCCACAAAAGTCGCCATTGTCAAAACTCCAGTCTTATCACATCAGCATTTCACCACTGTACTTTGGAGCTAACCGACACCTCGTATTGCAGTTCTCCTACCAGATCGCTTTTGCACACAGGGTCATACACCGATCTCATGCACTTGCCCAGGATACAGCTCAGAGTTCTTTGTTTGCTTTCTTAGTGCTGACTTACCTTGCGTCCACTTGGATGACTCACGTCATCTCTGCTTTGTTATGCTTTTTCATGCAGGCAGAAAGTAAGGCAACTTGTCATGTCTGCCAGCACGGAATGGTCAAGCCAGTGGACGTGATGCTGTATGGCACTATACTATGTCAATGTCACATTTATGACAGAATACAACAGGTTCTACTGCAAACACACTACATGTGCTTCAATCTAATGGTCATGTCTGAGTGTCCAAGAGGCATAGTCCTTAAGTTAAATGAAGAGGGTCCACACTCAGTCAGGAGCATGATGTAATCTCAGTCTAGGGGTTTGGCTATAGTCAGTTGGGAGCTTGGTGTGAACAGGAGATCTGTTTCCTCCAATCTGAGGTATGGACCATGGTCTGTTCCACAGGTCCATTCCGATCAGTCTGTGGATTGCACTCAGTTCTCAGTATACCCATAGATCAACATACTCGCAGGGTCGGCCCTTGACCTGATTGCTTTTTCCTTGTTGACAGGGCCCGATGGATTGCACAGTCCTTCGCAGTAGATAGAGGATTTACACTACCACGGTATTTGCATTTTTTGTTATCTGCTGGAGATCTGATTCCCTATTCCCTTTGATGATGAGGGATTTGGTGTACAAGTAAAACATTAAGGGAGCCATACAGGATTGTCCAGTTTGTCTCAGTCAGGAGTGTCCTCAGTCAGGACATCCTGGGATGTGGGACATGATCAGTCCTCAGGGTTTGTGCATCAGTCCTCAAGGGGGTTTATCAGAGGCCTATCCATTCTGCGTAGGGGCAAGTCGGAAACACAGTTCTGGGAATTGGAACCATTATGCTGGGATGCGGAGAGAAAAAATGATATGAAGTCAGGGGATAACTCCAAATATAACAGTGGGATCTGATATAGCATGGGAAGACATGGGGTATTGCAGGAGGTTTTTTTCACAATTCAGCACCATCAAGGGGGTGGGGATAACAGAGGATTGTGATAATGGACATAGCTATGTGATAGGCCAAGGACTGAGCGGGAATATAGTCAATATTGATAACTAAGTAAAATGGTTGCGTGGGAACATGGAGAGCCTCAAATCTGACAGGGTTTACAGGGACAGTGATACAAAAGAATACAACACACTCACAGTTGGTGGAGTAAGTTTGTTTTGTTGGGGAAGGGTGCAATTGCGGGTCATATGCAGCACATTTGCATTAATCAACTATCAAGCTTTAATGATGATACATAGCTGGCATCAAATGACTCTGCATGAGAAGCTATGCCTTGACCAACAATACATATTACAAACCTTGGTTACAAGCAATGTCATTGATCATGTCTAATTAATCCACCTTAACTTTGTGAAGCAGAATCATAGATCATTGTGGGATCCCCACAATGTGGAAGCAGGTTATTTGGTCCATCAAGTCCACACTAACCCTCTGAAGGGCATCCCACCAAGATGCACCCCCCTACTCTATCCCTGTAACCCTGCATTTCCCATGGCTAACCCACCTAGCCTACACATCCCTGGACACTGTCGGCAATTTAGCATGACTAATCCACCTAACCTATACATCTTTGGACTGTGGGTGGATAGCAGAGCATCCAGAGGAAACCCATACAGACATGGGGAGAAGGTACAAACTCCACATTGAGGGTGGAATCGAACCCCGGTTCCTGGCGCTGTGAGGCAACAGAGCTACCCACCGAGCCAAAGTAGTGATAACAGGCAACATTAAAAGTATAACCTGTAATTTTAAATTCTTAAACACATTTGAAAAATATCTTAGCTGCATGACAACATGGAACTGCTCTCCTCTGAAACAGAAAAGCAAGTAAGCACATGAAACGTTATGTTGAATCCCGTGTTTCATGCCTTTTAGTGGGGCTGGGCTGTAATTCCCACTACAGTCATGGAAGCCCAGAGATAGTAAGAATTGCCGATGCTGGAGTCAGAGATAACACAGTGTGGAACTGGAGGAACAGCAGGCCAGGCACATCAGAGAAGCAGGAAAATTGATGTTTTGGGTTGGGACTCTTCTTCAGAAATGGGGGAAGATGAAGAGGGCTCAGAAATAAATAGAGAGAGGAGGAGTGGGGCTGGGAAGGTGGGTGGGATGATGATAGATAAGTGCAAGTAGGCAGTGGTAAGGATTGGTCAGTGGGATAGTTGGGGTGGATAGGTGGGAGAGAAGATGGACAAGTCATGTCAGGTCAAGGAGGCAGGGATGAGAGAGAGGGTTGGTCATGGGATGAGAGCTGGGGGTGGGATTTTGAAAGTGGTAAAATCCACATTTAGGCCTTGGGGTGTAGGCTCCCAAGGCAGAATACGAGGTATTGCTCCTCCAATTTCCAGGTGGCATCATTGTGACACTGGAGGAGGCCCAGGATGGACATGTTGTCCAGGAAGTGGGGGGTGGGGGGAAGAGAGTTGAAATGGTTCGCAACCGGAAGGTGTTGTCGTTTGTTGCGAACAGAGCGCAGGTGCTCTACAAAGCGGTCTCTGAGCCTCCACTTGGTCTCACTGATGTAGAGGAGGCCACATCGGGAGCAGCGGATGCGATAGACCACATTGACAGATGTGCAGGTGAACCTCTGTCTGATGTGGAACGTTTCTTTGGTACCTGGGATGGAGGTGAAAGGGAAAGTGTAGGGGCAGGTGTAGCACTTCCTGCGGGGGTTGCAGGGAAAGGTGCCGGGGTGGTGGGGTTAGTGGGAAGTGTGGAGCAGACCTATGAAAGGCAGATAGGGGTGGGAGGGAAATACATATTTGGTTGTGGGGTTGGATTATTTGCATATCAAGATTTGTGTTGCATACATCAGCATGAGGTTTAATATCTTAGAGGTCCATGTAGAATCAGTTCATGTCCCTCCTACTGGAGGAACCTTCATGTCCTATTGTATCAATCAGGTATTATGATAAGGTATTATTTTTCTAATACTCCCCACATTGATTAATTGCACCCATTCTGAATGGATCAAAGAAAGGCTGGTGCTATCATCACTGTTGCAGTTAGATGAAGACAGTGTTGACACATTGAAGGAAATGAAAGATTTCAGCAAATCCAGACAAAACAGGAGTATTCTCCAGGATGCCAAAACACCCTCCACATGAAGAATCAACAGCAGAAGATTCTCCCGTCCAGAATGCACAGGAGGTTTAGAAGGCCAAGAGTGCATCAACCTAGCTGTCATTTCTTCTGGATGATTGAAGCTCAGTGCAGGCACAGACTGAGGATGCCTTGGGGCACAGTAACAGAACTGAGACATCAGCTTGAGTAGGACTGGTGCTCTGAAGGAGTAATTGGCCATCCTCTTTCAACAGCAATCAAGTAAAAGCAACACTCAATTTTTCCTGCAGCTGGCTCATTCCAAGCATTCACTGGGGACCTGTGTGGAATCTCCCTATTATCAACCCACAAATGATTCAAGGATGTCATAAATTCAATTTGTGCAAGATCACATCTATTAGTCGCTTTACCCCGTGACAAGGTTAGTGATTCAGTCTGTGCAATCATAGAATCCCTACAGTGTGGAATCAGGCCATTTGGCCCATCAAGTCCACACTGCCCCTCTGAAGAGCATCCCACCCAGACCCACGCTGTCCCTTTCCTATCCCTGTAACTCTGCATTTCGCATGGCTAATCCACCTAACCTACACATCCCTGGACACTATTGGCAATTCAGCATCGCCAATCCACCTA